GCTTATACCAGCCGTTTATCAGGATGAGTCATAGTTGTACTAGTACCACTATTAAAGCCAGGCTTATACCAGCCGTTTGTCAGGATGAGTCATAGTTGTACTAGTACCACTATTAAAGCCAGGCTTATACCAGCCGTTTATCAGGATGAGTCATAGCACCATCATAGAAACTTCCAAACTTAACAGTATTCCTTACACGAGTGACTGATTTAAGATTTTTTTTTTTTTTTAGTTAATGAAAGAATGAAGGGGTGGGCGAATGTTTTTCTTCATAATTATGCGAAATAATAGTCCGCCTAGTTGGCTCATCTGCATTACACAATCTAGTGAAGTCAGACCAATACCGCCAGGGGACGAATAGCCCGAGGTCAGGTCACAACAATTATTTTTGTTTGTTTCGGACAAAGTTAAGTGTAAAGATATCTGCTCCAACGGTCCTTGATTTTGAACCCGTAACCGAGGGAGGTCAACTAGCCAACATCACCCACGTCCAACTCTTTGGCTATTCTAATCGAGTGGGATTTGACAGTTACTCTTATAACGCACCCATGGCCCCAACGTGTGAAGCATGATTTCCGGCAAGGGACTCTAACCCTGGACCCTCAAAATCACGCTAACTATTAGGAATCTAATCTTATAACGCACCCATGGCCCCAAGGTGCGAAGCATGATTTCCGGCAAGGGACTCTAACCCTGGACCCTCAAAATCACGCTAACTATTAGGAACCTAACAACAATTATTCATTCGAAATCATGGCCAAACTTATGGATGTCTGTAATACACATTCCATATTTATGACGTATAGGGTAAAACTAGACAGAAACATAATGTTTAAATCTAGCTAAGTTGTAATACATAAAATATACAACATGAAATGCATACAGAAACTCGCAATTTGCATAGCTTGGTGTCACCAAAGTTGTGAATTTCTATTTTTTTTTGTTTGTTTTTAAATTTAGAATAAATGTCAACACCAAGTAGATGGGTGGAGCTTTCCCACCCTCGTGTAATCTGTGCGTCATGATTAAAAACTAACGCCCCCTATCCCGAGGTTAAAAAATGATGTATATGCGTAAGTTCGTATGTTAAATTCGTAGTAATTATAAATACACTAAGAAAAAAAAGCCGAGACTGGTAGGCCTAACATCTGGTACGACTTAAAAAAACTCGACTTCATCACATACGAGTCAGTCTGTGAGAAGCGTTGCTCAGCTGAAGTTCAACGCCCTACGTTCTTTGTCGGAGTAACACAAGACTGCTGGAAAGAGTTTCCATTAAAATCCACCGCATCATCCCTAAACTAGGTAGGCATACGAATCATCGTAGAAAATCCAGTTTTGCACCAAGACTAAAGTTCGTGAACGTACTCCGACATCTTTGTGGGACACAAACAAATAATTCCTCATCCTATGGAGTAAAGTTAACACGCGCACGAGTCAGGTTGATTGATAAATATTAATAAATGATGCTTATTTATGATATTCGATTCTTCTGGCCTTCATCTGCAGCTTTACCTCCAACCAATTTTACACCAAGTTAACAAACCCTTACAAATACATTTCGGTATTGAAGAAATTATATCAAACTGTAAAAATCTGGGTTAAAAAAATGCAGTAAATTGTTGAAAAACCAGAGAATACAAGGTTTGAAACTGGTCAACTTAAACCCAATAGAAAGCAACAAGAACCTGCCATACGTTTCGACAATAGCCAAGTGGTTACTAAACATTGTAAATAACTTCTGGTGACACAGTTGTACTAGTATTTGTAACGACGTGACTGTCCCCCTAGGATACACAATAGCCAACTATCTTACCCAGTGGTTACTAAACATTGTAAATAACTTCTGGTGACTAAAGTTGTACTAGTATTTGTAACGACGTGACTGTCCCCCTAGGATACACAATAGCCAACTATCTTACCCAGTGGTTACTAAACATTGTAAGTAACTTCTGGTGACTAAAGTTGTACTAGTATTTGTAACGACGTGACTGTCCCCCTAGGATACACAATAGCCCACGAAATCCACGTCAAGTTTAATTATAACATTATACTAAAATTGTACCATTTTTACCATCTACAATTAGATTTTTCTGTGTTTTGGTTAAGCCTAAATGTTTAATAGTATTTACTCAAGGGTTATTGAACTTTAATTATAAATTCGAGGTGAAAATCACTATCACAAACCAAGTACCAGTTCAAGCAAGGTCTGGAAAAAAAAAAAAGATACAGGACGGTCCTCACAGAAAACTTTAGACTACTCCCACTGTGAGATGAGGTAACTTTGGTTTGATATAAAGAAACATAAAAAAACAAACTTTATTTTACAGCAATCAACATTTTAATCACAATGCTGTAGGTTACAAATTATGTAGTACATTTATAAAATAAGAATATATCAATGCAATCAGGCAACATGGAGTCGTTTTACAAAACAACAGGACAATACCGGCGTAAAAACACGTCTTCAAAGAATGAATTCTCTATAAAACGAATACGTATATTTTTTTTTTTTGTTGTTATACGTTGTATACGAGATGCTAAAAACACGCCTCCTCACCTACGCCCAGGTTTTGTACCATCGCTGGTTAGATCAGAAATTTAAAATGGAAGCTTTAATTTGTTTGTTTGTGTGTGTGTGTGTGTGTGTGTGTGTGTGTGTGTGTGTGTGTGTGTGTGAGAGAGAGAGAGAGAGAGAGAGAACCTTTAACAACCCACAAATAAAATGGTTTGAAATATTCCCACTTTTGGTCACTTTTACAAGTATAAATACAAATTGTACCCAGAAAATTCAATGTGCGAATAAGTAAAAAAGGGGCATATTGAATGGATGCAGGTAAGTTTAACATTACGAGCACCTTGGTGCATGACAAGAAGCTGAGCATTTTGTGAAACATTGAGCAAAGGACACATTAACCAATCAACACAGCTGCCACTTAAGGTGTACTTACTGTCTACATGTATAAAAAAAGCTATTTTAATCCACATTTAAAAGGGGAACAGGGGTTGAACATACACAGAGCAATTAATACTGACCAGACATTTTGGAATGAAGACGGCAATGCGAAATTCAGATAATACCTACATATCTCTCCGTATGAACAAGTGACCCAGCGTAAAACGGGGGAGGGGAGGGGGCCACAAGCAACATCAAAACAATTCAACATCAAAGTCACTTGAGAGTCGGTATTTGTGACCTCACGATGAGTACTTAATTGGTCTGTCCTGATCACAAAACCACTAATAAAGTTCGTGTCTATTCTTTTTTCTCACTTTCTTCTTTGGTCTTTTCTTCAGAGATTTCATCCTTGTTATCTTTAAGCTTATCTTCTTCTTTCTCCTCCGAATCTTTTTTTTCCTCCTTGTCGTTATCTTCTGGGGCAACTTTTTCTTTGTTTTCTTTTTCCTCCTCCTCCTTCTTCTTCGGTAGGTGAGTGTTTAGCTCCAAAGACTTGGACATCTCTTCCCAGTCTTGCCAATAACGCTCTTTCATCCTCTCTAGGAAACTGACCAGATTGGTACAGTTGGCATCCATATATTCCTTTATGTCCCCAAAGCTTACGTAGTAAAACTGGCACAAGTGAGCGAAGGCCACGCAGTCCAGCTGAATTGTAAATAATAATAATAAGTATTCCAACTTTAACATGACATTTGGAGTACATACATACGTTATGTAGTATATCACAAAATAAAATAATATATATATTCTATAAAATACAATATCTCTCGCATACATTTCATATGAGGAAAGGATCCAAAAAAAATATTTTTTAAATTTTTTTTAATGAACTCAACTTACAAGATGGGGTTCATCTCCGAAGAAAAAAGGTTTGTCCTGTAGGTACTCTGACAAAGCCTTCAAGTCATCCTTCCCAAACTGTAGGATCTCTTCATTACTATGACGTCCCAGACCGTGTCCAATAGCCTTCTTGACGTTCTGCATATATAAATTTAGAAATTATATTACTAATTTAACAGAAATCATTTTGAAAAAACACTTAATTTTGTCCAACATTTTAGCATTTAATTTTAATGATGAATGGGACTTACACTTCTGAAACTCATCTTGAAGAAGAACTGAAGAATCCCTTTAGGAAGCTTAGAATTTAGTGCTCGTTTCACATCCAGCTGGGCAATCTTTAAAAACTGGGCTGGGTGGTTGTAGCGCCACCAACGCATCACCCTGAAAGGAAAAAAACGAATTAATGAACTTGTCAATGTACGTAATGGTTTGTATATCTGTTTAATGTAATGGTTTATATCTGTTTAGTGCAAGTAATGAAAGATAAAACAGAAGACAACACTTCATCGTGAAAACTGATATCACTTATGAATCTTTAGAGAATCATTTAAAGTTTTTAAACAAACAATCACACAATTAGGTTTAGTGAAAATCCTTCCAGCGGTTCGCCAACTATTAGCTGATGCAAAGCACGAGAGAGACATAGGGGGCAGGCCCAAATGGCGACCCTCTCCTCATGCCATTACACGTGGAAACAACGCACGAAGAAGAGATAGTGGTCACCAAGGGGGAGAGGGTTAGATCCTAACAATGACCCCCTCCACTTATGCCACTCCCCAGGAGGCTCTAAGGATACGTGTGCATGCCATGTTTAGTGACAATCAGTCCAGCGGTTCGCCAGTTATAAGTAGATACACATGGTTTGGATATAAGGATGATATTCAAAATTCTATAAGTGCTCGTGCAGTACACGCGTGTCAATTAACATTCAATTACGCAATGATCTTTAGGCGAGAAACTGACTACATTCTACGAGGGTACACACAAAATCAGTGTTATCAAACCAATATCATGAGAGGACCGAAACAAAACAAGATACACATGGGGCGAATGTCAATTCTATTGCAATATGTAATGCTTCTTTTAGGCTTAGCTTTCAACAAAATCAGTGTTATCAAACCAATATCATGAGAGGACCGAAACAAAACAAGATACACATGGGGCGAATGTCAATTCTATTGCAATATGCATTGCTTCTTTTAGGCTTAGCTTTCAATGTCTGCTACCCGAAATTTTCACCCAAAATGACACCATAAATAATTAATTAAAGATTTTATTATTATTACATACTAGGAGTAGAGGTAGTATTTTATGCTTGCTGCAATAGTCACATAAAATATTACTTCGAAAAAGATGGAAAAATAATACAGCCCAACAAAATTGTGTTCCTAAAACTTCTGTAGTCAACAATATCAAACGTTGGTATCAATAGATAAAATTAGTTTAATTGCTAGTCTGGGTTGGGATCTTCTCCTCCCCCCTAAAATTATGTTCCTAAAACTTCTGTAGTCAACAATATCAAACGTTGGTATCAGTAGATAAAATTAGTTTAATTGCTAGTCTGGGTTGGGATCTTCTCCTCCCCCCTCACACAACAAATGGAAGTTTCCCACGAGAAATATCGATCGTGTCTGTTGGCACGTGCCAGACTATTATTGATGATTTGTCTGTTGGCAACACTGAGCAATACGTAAATACCAAGGGGTCGTTTACAAACTTTAGACTACATACGGACTCAGATAAAAGAATATGACACTACGGTCCCCCTCTTTTATATAACAATAAAGCGGATTTTGGAACTGGAGTAGTAGAATAAAAAGTAATTGGATTTATCACCGGGATGCATGTACACAGGGGTCTCATTAATATGAAAGGTAAGTAACATTATCCGCGGTTAATAAAGATCACGGTTTGAACTCGTACAATACTTGGACGAGGGTGTGGTTACGTTTCAAAATACCACACACATAGTTAGCGTTGCTCAAAATTCCCCTCCATTTGGAGGGCAAGGGATATATGAAGAGGGAGGGAAAGGATGGAAATTATGCGTGTTCAAGAATGTTGAACACCCGAACAACGTTCAATTTCATTGTATTAAATATTCACTAGCATTATATACCTGTTGGATACAACATATCCAGAGTCATGTGTTAAGCAGTTGGTATCAAACATCAAAGAAATTACAATCCTTATTATCAATAACAATTTATATTTAAGTATTTTTTTGGCAAACACCGATTTTTGTTTTCCCTACAGGTGGCGCAATCATTTCGAACAATCCAACGAACCGAGTATTCTTTAAAACGTTTAGTCTGGAGTCCCGATGTAACTCACGAGAAACTTAAAAGAGATCATACGATCCAAATATTTTAAAGCTTACCATGATGTGTGATTGTTGAGCATCGAGCTGAAAGCATGGCTAACGTTTTTCTGATCTACAGAGAGATCAGCATCAAGATCTTTATCAAACTTCTTGCTCAGTTCACTAATAATAATGTCTGAATCTGCTATTTCAGTTCCATTCAGCTCCACAAACGGTAACTGGCCTTTCTTTGACTTGAACTTCAGCCGGTGATCAACATTCTGGGGGAGAAAAGTATATTAATTTGTAACAACGAAAGAAGAACTAAAATAGTTACTAAATACACTGAACAGGAACTTTCTAGTCTAATTAGTCTTTCCACAACCCTAATTGTTACTGTTTGTAAATTATCATCAAGATTTCCGAAATAAAAATGAAATATATTTTTAAAACATCCCCACATATTTAAACTACGAGAGACTTTCACACTAATTCATCCCCACATAGTCACTGCTGTAGACGCACAAGCGATGTCCCCCCCCCCTCTTTACAACAAAACGCTGTCCTTTAGACTTATCTGGCCTACATAAAAGCTCGCGTGAGGAACGTGACTGATTCTAGCTATAAATATATAACATGGAAGTAACTCTGAGGCTTGACTCAGTCAACTTCTTTCCAAGTAAATAAATAAATATGTATATATCTACACACACACACACACACACACAAAATTAAAATCTGAAAAGTCACCGCTAACAACATTCAATTCAGGGATTTTGAAAAATACACGCTTGAACGAGTTGCACGTGACATGCGCCACGTCACATGTGAACTATGTGGTCGGGCATCACATACGATAATGAATGCGCTCTTTGTTTGAAGTTTTACTCTTAATCTTAACAGCACACGAGCTTCTACGAGTATTTCATTTTCAAAATAAATTAAAATAAAGAGGTTTGTCTATTACCAAGTCACAATCTTGTTGGTTAAGTCAAAATTCCATCGCACGCTTCTCTTGGAATTAAATTTTAAAAAATACAACAATAAAGCGCCGCAAATTAAGTTTGAAAATATAACCTGTGATGTAGAGGGCTATGGAGAGTTAAGAAAAAAAAAAAGACTCAAAAACGCAATAAATATTTGAGCTACAGCTGAAGATGATTCAAATGAAAATGTAATAGCTCACTCTTCGTTGCAAATCTTACTAGCCTGTACACGATAAATAATTTAAATCGTGAATACAACAGTATTTATGTGTCGACACCGACAACAACAGCCGCTTTTCGCATACTACAATATAAACAAATATACATAAAGACGTATCCATGCGAAACGCCACACTCAACCAGTTCGTCGATTTTCTCATCAAACCAACCACGCGCTGAGTAACCCCCCCCCCCATTTTCTGTAGCGTCTGTATTTACACCATCATTGTTAGTCGACTAGGGTTGAACGAACAACTGGAACCAAGCTTTTATACAAACACACACAAATGAATTTACGTGGCTATTAAAACATGGCTATTATATTTACATGGTTTGACAAAAAAATTTCATCACTACAAGATACTAACTATTTATGACGCTCGTGAAAACAATTACGATTCGGGAGGGCCAAAGGGTACTTCGATTCCTTTGTTAAGCCTACATCTGCAAGTAGCGTCATCATCAAAACAGATTTTATTTTTTGACATTGCAGAAAGGACTCGGGATCAGACATGTTTAAATCCTTTACTTTAGCGTCTGACAATCTCTCCTTGCGATTGGTTAGTTGCAGTGAAAACACCAGATTTCATTACGCTTTGAACATGTTAACGTTTCTTCTCGCGAGATTTTGTAAGCCCAAACAAGTCGACGATGAATGTTCATTTTGTCTCCGCCAAAGTTTTAACAGCCGTTTGAACAACAATGTGTTTGTTCCTACCGTAGATTTTAATGCGTGGGATGACGGCTGGTCTGACAGCCGTCTATCTTGCAACCGATACCCCAGAGCCGTCAAGTAAGTTTTCAGTCGGTAAAATAACCATGTCTTTATCCACTCCACCCCCGCGTACCCAGCCTCTTCGCTTCTAATTTTATTGTAGTTTTTTCATTCAAAGAATATGCAAGACATCCTTTGGAAAAGTATCGACAGTCGCAGGTTTCTGATAGCAAGATTGCGAAAAAGCCAGCTTTCCTAATTTTGTGAAAATAAAGCGCCTGCAGGTTAGTCTGTCGAGATCAAAGTAAAAAGTTGACAAACACCCACCACCCACAGGGTCATATCTAGCTTCTAAGTCAAGGCAAGGCCTTCAAACTTCATCACCACAGTCTACATCATCTGAATTTCAAATATTCGAGTATGGGCGATTTGAAAAGGTTTCCAAAAGCTGAAAATACGTACTAGAAGGATGAGCCATTTTAACATTTCGTCAAGTTTTTAAACCTAAATTCAAACACGGCACACTATTTATTTAAGCTTTTCTTTTTACTGTCAAAGCTAAAGACAGTCTTGTTTATAATAATATTTGCTACATACTGTCCAATATTATTTGTAGTCGATGTATTTAGATTTTGATAATTTGTGAGAGTTAACAAATTTGAAAATGATCACGTCAACAACAACAAAAAAATATTTGTAAAAATACGTGGTAAAGATATGTTCCATTTCTCCCTCACGTAACTTCATCAATTCTCCCCCACCCACCCCCACCATCTTCTGATATATATATATATATATATATAAACACTTGCGATTTTTTTAATTTTATACTTATGCTCATATATAATAATATATACACACATAGTACACTGATGGACTTCTCTGGTGTACAACATAACTGATAAATTCTAGTCTTATATTTCATAGTGTTCTTTTCTGGCCGTTCTCACTTTAAGTATAACTTTTATTTTTAAAAGTTTCATTTAAAAAAAAAAAAGGTTACATACGAATTGTAGTTCTAATACTAATTATAAAAGGTCAGAATTTAAGTAGGGAAAACAAATATTGAAAATTAAACACTTTTTTTTGTAACTGGTCAATAACACTTACCTCGTATTTCACACCCGTCATTCGCAGCCAAGTTTCAACTTTCAGACAAAACGGAGATGGCGAGGGGACAACGGGACACCGTACAAACTGATACAAATAAACTGTATCATTCTCGTAATTACTTTTGTGAACTGAAGGCCTGGTTCTTGTTGACTGTGTGGTGGTCTTATTTTCCACTTTAGTTTCGGTTGGAGTAGCGCTGTTTTTTGATGCCTCGGTATTTTCTGCGGCGGATTCGGTGCTCGTCATATCGTCGGCGATAAATAGACTAAATCTTCTTCAAAATGGCGTGCAGCAGTCTGAAACAACAGCGATAAGACAGATCTTCGGCGTTCTCAATCCTGTGCCTGCCTTTCGCCTCGGTCAGCTATCTCCTTCTTGTCAATATCGTACACTGCGCCGACGCGAATTGGAAGGCGCGCAGGTAGTGCTTTATTTTCATAGGCTGAAAACGTCATGATAGCTTTAGTGCGCATGTGTCAAATATGATTCACCGAATGAAATGTCACCTGCTTTGGGTTTAAATGTAGACAGTGACGATGGAATGCGGCTGTCACGGTACAGCTGAACTTTTACACCATTTCGACATGAGTCACATGTTTTGTGCTCGTGACACGAAATATTGTTACGATTTGAACAGCTTTTCTAACCACTAGTACTCATGGGAAAGTCAATTAAATATCTCACTGATACAATGAATTTCAACTGAATACTATATACCACATGAAGGTAATACTTATTTTCGTTCGTCTTCTAATTTTATTATCAAAAAGTCCCTTAGTTTGTGGGACTGGGTTACAATATCAATACTGAATATCCAACCATAAACAAGGTGGGACTGTGTTACATCAGTACTGAATAACCAATCCAGAAACAATGGAGGTTTTAACGAATTGATCAAACTGTTTGCTGTGCCCTGAGTAACGTCTTTGTTTGTAATTAAACACAAAGCTACACAATGGGCTATCTGAGCTCTGTCCGCCACGGGTATCGACAACCGGTTTCTAGCGTTGTAAGTCCGCTGACAAACCGCTGTGCCACTGGAAGGCTAACGTTTTTGTAACGTGTTGTCTTGTATATTGAAAGGTTCCACAGTGAGATTTGTTTTGAGGCTGTTTACATATGTTTTTAAATGTTAATTATAAATTTTTTCTATCTTCTATTAGAAATATATTCTTGGATATGTTTTAAAATTATAAAATTCTTTATTTTTTTTCTCTTTAAGAACTTTATTCAATCTATGTATTAAATGCCCCTCTATTGAGTAACTTTGTATGTGAACTGTATGTCAAGGTACTGTGTATTAAATGCCCCCTCTATTGAGTAACTTTGTATGTGAGCTGTATGTCAAGGTACTGTCTATTAAATGCCTCCTCTATTGAGTAACTTTGTATGTGAACTGTATGTCAAGGTACTGTGTATTAAATGCCCCCTCTATTAAGTAACATTGTATAGGAGCTGTATGTCAAGGTACTGTATATTAAATGCCTAAATGTCTATTAAAAGTGTACCTTGACATACAGCTCCACATACAAAGTTACCCAATAAAGGGGCATTTAATAGACAGTACCTTGACATACAGTCCACATACAAAGTTACTCAATAGAGGGGACATTTAATACACAAGTACCTTGACATACAGTTCACATACAAAGTTACTCAATACAGGAGGCATTTAATACACAGTACCTTGACATACAGTCCACATACAAAGTTACTCAGTACAGGAGGCATTTAATACACAGTACCTTGACATACAGTCCACATACAAAGTTACTCAGTACAGGAGGCATTTAATACACAGTACCTTGACATACAGTCCACATACAAAGTTACTCAATAGAGGGGGCATTTAATACACAGTACCTTGACATACAGCTCCTATACAAAGTTACTGAGAACAGGGGCAAGTTTTATACAGAATTTTGACATATTATGCTGTTCACATACAAATTTAGTGTATACATGGGCAAGTCATACACCTTTTTGTACTTGCTTCGAGTGGTGAGTCGGTTAGTAGATAGCATACTTGAGGAATAACAACTGTTAGTTGATTTTCTGAGCCAAGTAGGATAGCTACTGTCCAGTGTTCACGTAAGTAAGTGCACGGTGTTTGCTTGCTTTACATGGCGTGTTAATATTGTTACGTCTCTGTTCTTTAGTTAATTTTCCGTAAATTCGTTCCGACGAAACTTTAGCGACACAAGTCCTTTCTTAAATAAAACTGGTTTATTCTTTCTGAATATAACTTTACGATACACTTAATTTCAACAGTCGCTCTATAACAACGCTATGTCTCACGTGGCCAACAATATTTTGTCCACATACATTCAATTACTCATTACACTATTGTCCCGTCACGTTGTGAACGTCTTATATATACAAGACTAACACATATCTAGTAAATGCTAGGGCATTCTTGAAGTAACAGGATATTTCTAGAAAGAGGTGGCGTGATACTAGTCACGTGACCTCGCTGATGCAACAATATCTTATCTTAAAACTCGGTCGTTTAGCTCAATTCACATTTTCTTCAAAGTTTTCCTGATCCATCCGAACATTTTAAAGTAGACCTATCTAATACTCGTGGAAAAAATATGTTTCACCTGAGAATATTAGAACAGGTATGACATAAGATGTCGTGTATTACAAATATGATGTAAGATGTGTGTGACAGATCTGATGTAAGATGTCATGTGTGACAGGTATAATTAAGATGTTATTTGTGACAAGTCTGATGATGTAAGATGTTATTTGTGGCAAGTATAATGTAAGATGTGTGTGACAGGTATAATTAAGATGTTATTTGTGACAAGACTGATGATGTAATATGTTATTTGTGGCAAGTATAATGTAAGATGTGTGTGACAGGTATAATTAAGATGTTATTTGTGACAAGACTGATGATGTAATATGTTATTTGTGGCAAGTATAATGTAAGATGTGTGTGACAGGTCTGATGTACGATGTCATGTGTGACAGGTATAATTAAGATGTTATTTGTGACAAGTCTGATGATGTAAGATGTTATTTGTGGCAAGT